GATAGGTATATCAGAGCACAAAAGACAGCCGAGACAAATTAAAAAAAATTACAGAAGAAAGATATTTTTTTCGCATTGAAATTTGGAAATCTAATTACCTTCAACCTCAGTCTAAAAGAGGAATTACGAGCTTTAATCGGTCTAAAACAAAAATTTCTCATAATGTTTCTAATTTTACTGCCTCTGTGCTTATTATTATGCGGACGATTTTTAGAGATTTTATCAAAAATAGTAAATACCCAAGTCCCCTGAAATTTAACAAAATACCGGTTTCGAAAGAGGAAAAAATTGAACTAAATAGAGATGAAAATCAAACATAATCTCAACTTTTGGCCATTATCGATGAAAATATTTCAAATTTACCAGAGGAATTAATTCAAAATTTCGAAGATAAGAAAAAAAAGTTCAAGATTAAAATTGCTAAAAAAAAATCTGTTATTTTGGATTTTCTAAACAATGTAAGACGGGAATTAAATGAAAATTCTGGTTGTTCTGAAAATGACACCGTTTGTTGACACAATCAAAACTACATGTACATATCGCATGTTTCTGTTCTTGTACAGTGTACACTGTAAAAAATGTGCTTAGGAAATAAACACTACCATTACATGTTTACATCTAAACATGTTTAATATTATGTTTAACAACTAAACACTTCGGTCTAAAGTATTTAATACCTAAACACGTTTAGAAATTAAACACGTGTTTCATTCTTCAATCAGTGATATACGGAGTTGTCTTCCCGGAAATGATTGAGATATATTCAAACATGAATTAGCGCGGTTGTCGCACAAAGAAAATCACAACATTAAGACAAAACCGTTTATCCTATCAAAATGATAGAAATTCAAGATACGACTGTTGCAGATTAAGTGAAATACACGAGGGATGCTTCTTGAAAACTGTGATTTAGAAGGTTTGTATGATTTTATTTACAAAAATTGAGCTTGACGAGAGAGGTAAACAATGTCAGCAGTATTTGTTTATCGTAGGATCTTGTATTCTTTACCAAAGGACACATGTACAATATCAATGTACATCATTATTAATTGATACCGTTTTACTGTTCATAATAAGGTTATAAAATAATGGATATGTTTATGGACGATAACTTTCAACAAAGAGCAAATATGTATCTTATATTATTATTATTGAGATACGAGTAGTGTGTTGTTTGTGTCCTTTACACACAAAGATATCTTGGATACAATAAATAAAATGATTTTACATGAAACCCAATTAATAAAATTATTTTAATTATGATAGAGAAAATGATGGAGAGGTTGAAAAAGACTTTTAACCACACAGAGAAAACATATACCTCTAGCACAAAGGCTAAGGGCCAAAGAATCACTGGATTTGATCATTGGTACATGTACAAGGTAAATTTATGCAACTTGTACTTTATTTGATTGTGTCTAAGTTGTTTGTTATCTATCTATTACATGTATATGTTAGAGGTTTCTTCAGCCTTCCTCCCCCGTGGACTGTTTCCTTCTTTCATGTTAAGACTGAAATTTCTATCCATTATAATTTTTTTTATTTTACTATAATTATTTTTTTGCAGAAAAACAACATTTTACTACAAGCAAGAAGCGTAAGGATCCAGCCAAGTTGGTGATCATCACAGAGGAAAGAATAACATTATTGGAAGAGGACTGGAGATAATGGAGTCTACTAAATTGAACTCGCTGAACCGGGGCCTTTGTTGTGTTACTAAGCTCGGGACTTGAGATATCCCGAAAACTTTCAAATTCTGGACGGTTTACGATTTGTATCTCGATGACATAGAAAACAAATAAGTAAAAAAAAACTAAAAGACAAAAGAGTTTGAAAACTGAAATACGTATTTCGAAGGTTTTGTGGCCTACTGTATTGGATGTATGAGTTTGTTAAAAAATGACTTTTTATTCTTAGATGGATAAAATGTTAAACATTTTAATTTAATTTTCTAATAAACTAATAATAAATATAAAAACACTCTGAAGTTCTTTGTAATTTGTATAGAGATAAGTACGTTGGTTTATTATAGGATCTATATATTATAAGTGTATGTACCATAATTGGATAATAATTCTTTAATTTTGATTGCATTTTATCATGTTTAATAGTTTAACATATTTAAATTCTAAACACGTTTAGGCCGTGAACGCGAGCTTCAAAATGTACATGTTTAGAAATTAAACGGATACCTAAACATGTTTAGAAAATAAATGTGTTTAAGTACTAAACATGTTAAAAATCTGTCTACAAGAATAGTGTTTAGAAAAATGTTTAGACTCTAAACACATTTTTTACAGTGTATGTACAATGTACTTTAAGCATTTCTGTAATATTATTCAGATAACTATTTTATATGAATGTAAAAATTTAAATGTGTGATTACCTGTATTTCTTTATGATGTCCTATGATTAAAACATCAATATACATTTATTGACTGGGTTCGAGGGCAACATGCGTTTTGTTGGACCCAAGAACCAAACTGTTGCCTGAGGCCGTTAGGCCGAAGGCAACAGTTTGGTTCGAGGGTCCAACAAAACGCATTTTGCCCTCGAACCCAGTCAATAAATGTTTTGTTATACTTTTCCCTTTTTATTATAACATTTAAGAAATAAAAACAATTTAGTTGCAACAAAACTTTATTTGAAACAGGTACATGAGAAGAATGAATTGTGGATATACAATAAAACTAAGTCAGTTTGTATAATTGTTAAAGACAATTGTGCACTGGTTAAAGCTGCATGAATTAAAGTCTTGATTTTGAGCATTTTTCACGTTGGGGAATCGAAGTTTGTTGGCAGCATTGGTATTTCTAATAGATCTAGGTCGGTCAAATTCAATACAGATTCAGACGAAGTTGCCTGCTCGGTGAGAATTGTTTTCTCGGTATTAGCGACAGTCTGAGGAAGAATTTTTTCAGACAAAGTGTTGGAAATTCCGTGGATCTTATTTTCACTGAGATGCGCAGAATAATGCTTTAGACTCGTCTCTGATTTATGTTTTGATATTCCGATGATATGACTACCCTCATAGCCGCCCTCGTCAAGTAAGGTAATACATGTGGGCCTGATGCATAGATTAGTATAAACAAACGATAAGTTTGCATCTTTACTTATTGTAGCCATCATACAGCCTAGGGTATTTTTCCCACGACCATATTGTCATACCAAACTCCTGCTTGATCCGCCACATCTTTTTTAGGTCTCTGTCAGAGAAACTCGCACGCTGGATTTAGCTTCGATATATATTTCTCAAAACTGTTGACGGGGCATGCTGGATTACCTATATAATTAAATGAGCACCAATAAACTTGTTTTCTAATCAAAATAACCACTGTATGAGTATATAAAGTCACAGACAGCTGGGTTTTTTTTATATCAGTAAAACCGTCTCTAATTAATATGCATGAAATTCTAGCCCAAGTACAAATACTTACCGGGTTTTTCGTACATTCTAGCGGCCGTATTATCCTGGTCTCCTACAGCTTCACGATGATTTTTGGTAAGCCTTGAAACATTGCTTCCAACATATCGTCTCCCCTCCGCGTCTATACGAATTTGGTAATCCGTGGGCCTCATGTTTCGTAGATTCTCTCTACCTCGGTTACAGAAAAACATCATTATTTCAAAAAATACTTTTTGTTGTAATGTTCTTGGTGTAGATGTATCAAATACATTTGATTCGTACAGTTTTTTAATATCAGCGTCAGAAATAGGTCTTTTATGTTCTGTTTGCACACCCTCTTTTTTTATTTTCACCAAACAAGCACTGAACATGTCGTTAGCGCTTTTAAAATCATTGTCATTTATTATGTCCCACTTGTACAATTTAAGAAACACTCTCTGCAATCCAAATCTCAATGATATCATAGTAGATCTCGCATAAATTGTGCCGTCCTTTTTCCGTACTTCACAATAAAACTTTTTCAGAAATTCGGCAGCTTCATTCTTGCTTTTTCCATTAAAAAAGTTTTCAATGGTGGATTCGTACTTGTGGACTAGGTACTCCGACAATATTCTTTCAGCAACTTTCACCACATTTTTCGTATTGCTGCTGTCCCGATTTTCCATTATGTTTTCAATTTCTTCGTCATTGTATGAAGCAAACCTAGCACTCCCTTCCATGATTGCGATGCAAATGGCAAATGATAACATTTGAATGTTAATTTCAATTTCCCGCAATGCAGATTTGCGATGCAGGTGACAATATTTGAATATTAATTTCAATTTGTCGCAATGCGGATTTAACTCGGTCAATTTCGTAACTGTCGAATACTTACGGACTACTGTCGTATAAATTCGCCGAAACTACGGATTATAACGAATGCAAATTAAGACATAGTTAACCCCGCCCATACTGTGACGTAAGCGGTCCAACATCTCATCGACCGGTCCAACATCTCACTCAGCGGTCCAACATCGATTTTTTTATGCCCGCTCAGCAAAACATTAGGAATGTTAGACTTTTTTTCGTATAGATTTGTATAGGAACAAATTATCAAAGGTATAACAATAAACCATTGTGCAATTTCTCCTGATCAAATTTTATTTTGAAAAAGTATGTGTATATTCACAAAAGACCTTTGAAACTAATGGATTTTTGAAGCAACAATTGTTAATCTAATCGATATATTTTTTAATGTGTATATAAAACAACGTCTTCGGTACCTTTTCTTTCCATTTTCACCCCTTGAAGTAAGAAAGAAGTTGTAGAATTTTCTGGCGAGCTATTAAATATTGTGCATAAAACCGACGAAAACAATGTGTGTTTGTTGAATCGTAAACACTTAATAGCCGGTCATGCTTTGCGGCTCATTCACTGGATTGGAGAATCTGTTTGACGCATACATTGTCACGTGTTAAATTATGCTCTCCATAAAAGGTAGTGTGCCTGACCTGTGGAAACATGCTGAACTTTCTAATATATATCATTTTAAATTCAGTTTTTGTTCGATTTTGTAAATATCTGAGGGCAAAATGCTTAAAACAGGAAAAAAGATTATGTTATGATGAGCAAGACAGCCTTGATTAGATAGTGAAAATTAGATAGTGTAAATGCATTTATTCTTTGAAAATCTTCTTCTCTGCTTCTGGGTATCAAATAAAGTAACTTGGTACACAGTTATGATGAGCAAGATTGCCTTTCCAGAATTGTGAAATTTATGGATCCATGGTCAGGGGTTCTGGTGTTAGGGCGGGGCTCTATTGATTATATAGTGAAATGCATTTTATGGTTGAACATCTTTTCCTCTGCTCCTGGGTATTAAATAAGCTAATAAGCACATAGTTATGATGAGCGAGCGTGCCTCATCCAGAATTGTGAATTTTCTGGCCCAAGGGTCAGGGGTTCTGCTGGTGTTAGGGCAGGGCTCTATTGATTGTATAGTGAAAATGCATTTATTCTTTGAAAATCTTCTTCTCTGCAGTTCTGGGTATTAAGTAAACTAACAATGCACATAGTTTTGATAAGCAAGAGTGATCAATAAGGCCCCTGGACCTCTTGTTATTTTCACTTTTACATTATTCTTTAAAAAGATCTACGTATGACCAATTTCTAAAACGAGGTAAATTATTAACAAGGAATTTGATGAAACAAGAATATCAGGAGTCATCATTTTGGTTGATACAATAGCCTTGTCAGCAAAAACAATTTATCATTCAGTCAAGTACTGACTGATGTTTTTCATACTTATTGTAAGTCCATTATTTATACGCTGAATTTGACAACGGACTTTTCCATTATTACCCGCGGATCATGACAAGGACCACACGGAGGGTGAAGATTTTTAACGACCTTTCCTATTTATTAAATCTGGAAATTTTTATGTCGATTTATTTTTGCGAATTTGGGTCAAAAAGCTGATTAATTTTTAACCTTCAAAATTTTGCGAGTTGTTACTGGCGCTAAAAATAAATGCGAGTTGTTACTGTAACGTTTCTGGGTTCGAAGATTCGGTTGCTCTGCCTGAGCAATTTAAGTATATAGAATAAATCAAATAATTATAAAACTTCTCAATCAAGGACTTTAATTATCAATATATACAATATCCTATTCTGTCCTGGAGCGCGTGCGCTTCCTAGCTAAGCAAACCAAAATAAATATTTACCAACTTGCAAAATAAATACAACAGTCTCGAAAGCCTTATTCAGGCACATAAGACTTGTTAAGCAGGTTTACGTTTCTCACCTTACTTGAAACAACTGACTGGTGTCGACTTCAGTCTGGAACTGACTAAGAGCTCTGATATCACTGCTTTTATATCCTAGAGTATCACGTGATCTCTGAGGATCGAAAGGGTTAACTAAACAGGAAGTATTTATCACACACAAAGCTTCCGGAGGACAGAATGGGTTTTATCATTTCGATTCCTAGTTTTGTTTCATTACCCACGCCTCCAGGAATGCGTCCCGCATTAAATCAATAACTACCTGGGCTAAAGATATAACGCGTGGTATAAACAAAATAACAACAAATTTTATAGCTACCTGGCTTTCATTGTTCATAAGATTTAACAAATGTTGCACATACAAACCAAATATCATCAAACACTGTCATTGATAAAATAAGAAAACAATCAACCAATGATTCATAAATGTGCAAACATATCCAATATTGCATGAAATCGCCATTTAATATCAATGTCAGAAAAATAACAGCTGAGAATATTCTTTTCAAAACCAGCTTTCCTCCTCATGCACTTCAACGACTGTTTCCCCGTCTCTTTGGTATGTCTCCTGTACCCTGTCTAGTCTACGCCGTTTGTCTTCCTCTGTTTGGGTGCCTTTCTCTTCACAGTCTTTATCCGTCAGGGTACTCGCATCGACAAATTGATGATGCATGTCTGTCTGCGTACTGTCATCCTGAGTAAGAAATGGCAACTGTACGGGAGGTGCATCCAAATGAACAGAGGGTCGTTTTCTGGGAGTTGTCATTGGATGTCGGAATGGTGATGGGGCCGTGGCGTCAAGGGGTCCTGGCTTGCTATGGACTTGGATATCGGCGCAGAGACTGGAGCTGGTCTGGTAGGCGTCCTCTGACAGACGGCTTCTGCAGGACGACTCTGTGATGTGCTCCCGACCACATCAGACAGATTTCCTGGGTCCAACTGTTCCCAATCATCTGTGCCGCTATTAGCTGCAGCGGAAACGACTTCACTATGTCGAGTGCGGCGATGTCTCCCCATGTCACTTTTCTTATTAGTAGCATAATCACATTTGGCGCATTCGAATTTCTTCTGTCTACGCTGTCGACCGCATTCCACCACATGTCTCTCCCACTCAACTTCGTCTAGAAATCTCAGATTACACATCGGACATCGATGACCTTCCTTCCTGGGAGTAATCTTTGTATTAACCATGATCTATTAAAATAAGACAAAAACTTCAAATACTCATATTTCAATATTATCACAACAGGTTATCTACATATTTACACAAAAAAATAGCTAATCTTAAAGCTCTAAGCGCTGTAATCCACTTCGTAGTCCTGAAGCCATTTGGGCAAGTTTTTCGCACGGCGCGGTCTACTGCTTTCGCGTGCACCAGCTTCTTCACTTAAAGCCCAAGGTTCATCAAATCCAGCCACAGGAACATCTATGGGAGACATATGATCTCCAGCTGGAGTATCATTCCTATCACATATGTCTTCCTCGGTTTCTCCTTGTAGTATTTGTGCATGACTTTTTCTCATCCGATCACAATGTATGACGGTGCTTTTCCCTCTAGAATCACAAGCAACCTCATACAACACATCAGACAGTTTCTTCTCGACTTTGAATGGCCCCCTCCAAAACGATGTCAGTTTTGGGGAGCAGCCACTCTTTCTGACTGGAAAGTATACATATGCCATATCCCCTGGCTTAAAGGAAGACCATGATAATTTGGTATCATGATACTTCTTTTGTCGCAACATCTCCCCAGGCATATTTTCTCTCACAATTGCATGTGCTTTCTCTAAACGTTCGCGCAATATCCATACCCACTGATGCGCTGGAATGTCTTTCATCTCTGACGGCATTTCATACATCAAATCTAGAGGCGTTGTTGCCTCTCTTCCCAGCATTAACATGTTGGGAGAAAATCCCGTACTTTCATGTACTGTGGAGCGATAAGCCATTAAGATGTAGGGCAGGTGTAAATCCCAATCTTTTTGATTTTCCTGGACATAAGCACTCAGCATTGATATTAGTGTACGGTTGAAGCGTTCAACCATACCATCCGATTTAGGATGGTATGGAGTAGTCCTTGTTTTAGTGATTCCTAGCAACCGACACATCTCCATAAATACTTTGCTTTCATACTGACGCCCTTGATCTGAATGGAGAACGGAAGGAACGCCAAATCTTACTATTACTTGTTCCATAATCGTTTGGGCGATAGTTTCTGCTTCCATATTTGGAAGAGCAAACGCTTCCGTCCATTTTGTGAAATAATCCGACACGACGAGAATATGACGATTCCCTCTGTCGGTTTCCGGTAATTCACACATCAAACGTTCAAAGGTCGCAGGCGCACAGGTAAGACCAAAAGGCATCACCTTAAACTGAAAAAGACCTTTGCGTGTTACAAAAGCTGTCTTACTCTTGTCCTCATCCTCCATAGCAACTTGCCAGTATCCGCTATTGAGGTCTAGCGTAGAGAATAAGGCATGTCCGGACAAGTGGTCAAATGCTTCTTCTATATTTGGGAGGGGATATGCGTCCTTTACTGTTACTGCATTTAGTCGCCTATAATCAATACAAAAGCGCATCGACCCATCTTTCTTACGCACTAGAACTACAGGCGAAGCCCAAGGGCTCTTTGAGGGTTCTATTACGTCTTTATTAATCATTTCATTCACCTGTTTATCAACTTCTTGTAACATATGTAACGGGATTCTTCGTGCTCCTTGCTTAATGGGTTTCTCTGTAGGGTTATATTGGATTCTGTGTTTAACAACTGTAGTTCGACCCAGATCAAAATTTGAAGTTGCAAACAAATGTTGATATCTATGCAAGAATTTTTCAGCTTGCAAGGCTTGTGCATTTGAAAGAGTTTTCTTACATCTGTCAAGTAGCTCTTGAACGTCAGATCGGAGTCCTACGTTTGTTTCTCTTGATGTCCCTTGTGTTTTCTCTTCGTCAGCAGCTGTCATTCTCGCAATCATTGTTCCTTTATATATCTGTTGGGCTACATCTGTAATATTCATAAGTCGCACAGGCACATTTTCGCCACCTTTTACAAATGTTCGGCCAACCAGCGCACGACCCTTCTCCAGAAATTTTACCTCTGGCTCGACTATGTAATCTGAGCCTCCAAATGTATTCTGCCTGGAATTTTAGCGACAGTAACTACTTCACTCCTAGGGGGAATACAAATGTCATCAGCTGCAATGACACGGTAACAACCTATGGTTCCTTCACAAGAAATGCTGTAATCCTTATCGTTTAGTCTCAGCGTGTTATTGTTGAGATCTATGATATCACTACCTTTCTTCAAAAA